ATATATATATATATATATGATTTTTTCAACCGTAAACTAAACCCCAACCCCCAAAGCCTTCCAGCCTCGTTAGACGAAGGGCTGCGACGTTCCCGGTTGGCGAAATCGTACAGAGGGTTCCTTGATATGCCAGGGAGGGAGGCCCAGGGGGGGGATAAGACTTCGCGAGCCCCGCTTCTACGAAGCGCTCCCCAGACTTCCCCGGTCCCCAGGATTTGCGCAAGGACTTAGGGTTTAGGGTTTAGCTAGCCGCTAGCACCCTATACCCTTAAACTACACTACCTTCCGGATGCATTGCCCTTCAGGAACTGCTCAGGGTACCAGGGTTTGGCATCGAAGGCCTAAAACCCTAAAACCCTAAAACCCTAAAATCCCAAAACCCTAAAATCCCAAAACCCCCAAAACCCCACAACCCTAAAACCCCAAAACCCTACAACCCTAAAACCCCAAAACCCTAAAACCCTAAAACCCCAAAACCCTAAAACCCTATTTCTGGGGAAGGTCCATCTTCACAGGCCTGCGAAGATGATTCGGAACGCTATATTTCAGGGACATGAATGACTGGGAAAGGGCTTTGGGGTATATACTAGTCAACTAGTAGCTAGTATAGAAAAAAAAGGACGTAAAGGGGATACCATCTGTGTACTAACTTCCGTTATATGGGAGTTTCAGCTAGGTAAGAGACCCCATATTGAAGATCCTAAGTCCACAAGTTGCCCCAAGATTGGGTACCCCTAGTTTTTGGGAAAATCCAGATGCTCATAGTGCAAGGGTTTAGGGTTTAGGGTTTAGGGTTTAGGGTTTAGGGTTTCAAACTTGTATCTCGGGCGAGGAGCAAGCCAGCAAATTCGCAATCAAATGGCGCCATGACGACGATGAGGACAACAAGGTTGATAGTGGCGGCAGTCTTGATGATGACGACGCTGCGAAGATGACGAGGGTGATGATGGTGATGCTGCTGCTGATGATGTTGATGATGATGAGGACGATGATGAGGATGACGATGATGATGACCATGACAATGGCGATGGTGATGGTAATGATGGTGGCGATGGTGATCGGTGATGGTGATGGCGATTTTTTATGGCGATGGCGATGGCGATGGCGATGGCAATGGCGACGACGTGATGATGATGATGAAGAAGATGATCATGATGGTCACGGTCATGATCAGACACCTCGACACCCTAAACGCTGACGATCATAACATCGATTTCATGACCTGCTACCTCTCTGCACACAGCCCGCCCCAAAACATACCCGACGTAGGGGGGGCCAAAAAAACCGAGTAGGGTTTCAGGACATACTCTCACAAAACTGCACGCGGACCATCAGGGAAAAACTACTATACATTCTATGTACTTCTACATATTCCCTGATAAACCCTAAACCCTAAACCCTAAACCCTCAACCCATGACCCTAAACCCTAAACCCATTTTCTTGGGGCCCTCATATCTCCAAACCCCAAAAACCCGCTGACATCTCGGCCGTTTTATCGCGCATCGCTTCAGTCCACTGCTACAGGGTTTAGGGTTTAGGGTTCAGGGTTTAGGTTTTAGGGTTTAGGGTTTAGGGTTTAGGGTTCATGCTGAAGCCTCATCTTTCTGCCGCAGCCTAAACCCGAAATTCGAGCCCTCACCCAATAAACCCTTACCCCTTCGCCCCTTTCAGGCATAGATCTGAATCCTAGAAACCCAAGGCCTACAAGGCTTCGCAACATTCTAGGGTTTAGGGTTTAGGGTTTTGTGCTCGAACCCGAAGTGAAAACCCTGGTAAGAAACAACCCACAATGGAGCTTTGACCCCTAAACTTTATAACCCCGAAAGTCTACTGTAGAGTCCTTAGTAAGTGGGACAAGGTCTGGGCATATAGACCTATAAAGCCAATATAGGCCACGCCATTCAAAATTATTCCGGCATTTGCTAAGCGTTGCACTCTCTAGACAACCCTTAAGTAAATCCGGCGGATCTGCATGGGCGTCTTGCACCTTCCAGGGGTTGAGAGCTGGTCATGCGATCTTGTTTTCAAAGCTCACGGTTTAGGATTCAGGGGTTGAGGTTTTGGGGTTTAAGGTTCGGGGATTAGGCTTGAAGCTTTGGGATTCAGGGCTGAGGGTTTGGGGAATTGGGGGGCGTGCAGCCTAACCGGTATAAGACTGTTGGAGGCTTTGTCCCCAAACCCCAAAACCGAATACCCGTACTTAGGGTTTAGGGTTTAGGGTTTAGGGTTTAGGGTTTAGGGTTTAGGGGGTTTAGGGCTGCTTCTTTTTGAGGCCGCCCGCCCTTCGCATCAGGATTGGTTTTGGCAGGAAAGTAATGGGCGTTCACAGTTGGAGTAGGGCCCCATCGGATTCCTCATGTCAAGACTTCAAATGGGAGTTTCCGAAAATAGGGGACCCTAATATAGCACCCTAAATAGTAGGATCCTTATTATAAGGACCCCAAAACAATAAGGTACCCATTATTTCGCAAACTCCCAAATAGTGCGGTGATATAGGGGCCCGAATCACTAGAATAAAGTTTCGGGTACATGGCGGCGTTGAGGCCCGTGGAATAGCGTGAGCAAGGATTTCTCCTCAATTGAAGGGTTTGCAATCAGGAACAATTGTGAACCCCTAACCCTATACCCTCAACCCCTAAACCCTAAACCCCTAACACTAAACCCCAAACCCGAAACCCTCAACCCTACATTCTGCTAGGATCGGGATCTCAAGAGATCGGGGTTTTGCCTTTCGAACCCTACACCCTAAACCCTCAACCCTAAACCCTCAACACTGAACCCTAAACCCTCAACCATAAACCCTAGACCCTCAACCCTAAACCCTATACCCTAAACCCTACTAGGATCCACATGACTAGAAAATTGCTTCAGAGCGCAGCTACACCTATGACGACGGTAGCTCGTCGGGCTCGTGGTTTTGGGGGTACGGGCTTCTAGACGAATGCCCTGCTTTGTACTTGTACTTGCCTTGACGGTGTTCATGTGGGCGGCTTCCTGTAATAAGGCCTAAATCGGGTCCTGCTACGGTCCTTTTCATGAGGGTGCCGTACTGTTTTAGGGACCTCAAAGAACCCTTATTTAGAGGACTACCTATGTGCCTTTAGGCGAGCTGCTTTTATGACAGCGGCACGGTTCTGTGCATTCACCACCGCAAGGTCTCTGCTGGCTGCAAAGCTGCTGCGACTCTGGCGCATGCAAACAGCTTCTGCCTGTACACAAACAGCCACTAAAAGATCGAAGATGCGCAGCACGAAAGATCTCTGTCGTATCCACTGCGCAAGACGGAATGCTGGATTCTGAATTAAATCAAATGAGGGCACGGACCCAACTCTGCCAGATCAAATATAGGAGCCGTAATGATTAAAACAGGGTTTTGTGGTATACTATACTATAACTATAATAAGGAACCCGTAAAGTAGTATTGGTAACTATTTAAGCCCCTATATTAGTCGCTCAGCTGACTTTGACAAGCTGGGCAAACTGCTGCAATAGGTTGTTGCCATGTTGTTTCTGACTTGGGCAAGGGTGGCATTCATGCTGATCTTCGAAACGATGCTTCAAGCACACCTAGACTGGTCATCGTAGGGACTCACGACTCACAGACAAAACAAGCCAAACTAAAAACAAAAACAGACAAAAACACCTCCGAACTGCCCGGGCACTTTCATGCCACAAGTGCCGCAGTTGCAGGAGTTCGAGAAGGTGAGTTTCTCCCTGCAGCCCTTGACCTGGGCTGTTCGAACTTGGAGGGCCGTTGAAAACCCGCAAGGCTTTTACGCTTCAACAGACCAGAGTAGACTAGACTAGACGAGGTCTGACTAGACGAAATACCCCTGAAGTTTTATCAAACAAATTTCCAGACGAAACCCTAAGCCTCAAACCCTAAACCCCTTAAGTTTTGTCAAGCAAATTTCTGGAACGGCCCGGGCACGGGGCACCGACTCGGCTTGGTCACCTGTTTGGGGATGCAGCTTCCACTTGCAGCGTGCCGCTCCCAAACTTCGTTCTCGTCTTCGCCATGCGCCAGGGGAATCGCCAAAGAGCAAAGAGGACAAACTATCACGCGACGGTCCGTGGCCTGTCGCCCCTTGGGACAATCATGGGCATCATAGCTGAAATGATGAGAACAGTAAGCTTTGCCGCAGGCGTCACACTCGAAAGGAAGTAAGTCCCGCTGATTGCAATAGGGATGGGAGCAATGCTTGCCACAGTCGCTGAAGTTCGCCATTGCGAGTCGAAGGCACTGTCTACACAAGGTACCAGCCGATTAGCAGAATTGAGCCTGTCGCTGCATTCATGAACCCGTGACAACCAGTATATCCTTTTACGAACTGCCACAACCTGAGTCTGGGTTGAATTTGCTGCTACAGGTAGTGGTTGGGTTACGGGCTCAGACACATGCATGATGGGCCTTATCGTCTCTCAGCGATAATGCTATGCACATCATTTCGCGAAGTAGGAGCCTTAATAATTAGAACAGGTCTCCTTAACATAACTGTTGAGTATCACATACCCCAAAACCGTATTCTAACACATTACGCATCCTATAAGACCTTGCCTATTGTTACACTTCACTAGTTCGTTGTTCTTGTTCAGGAAGTCTATACGGGATCTATCAGGGTTTCTTTACGGGTTCCTAGAGCGGGACTACAAAGGGAATTTGTAAGAGCTCTAGGTTTCCCATAATGGTAACAATGCTGCTATGATGGAGACCTACCTTCAGACAACTCGAATCGAAGCTCTCAACTTACAAGTAGGCTCAAGACGAGACCCAAAGCCCCAAACGCCAGCCCCAGGCCGGAAAATGCGAAATCCCAACACCTGAACGCCAGACCATGAGGATTAAATTCAGCGCCCCGAAGCTAAGTCTCGGTGAAACACTAAACCTGACAATCTATTTTCCAGGTGCATGAGCTCGGGTTTAGGAAGATTTGTTGAAGGTACAGTACTCCTCTGCTTGGGGCCTTGGCTAGGCAAGGTACATGCACGTCTGTGTACCATCAGCCAGAAAGACTCAACAACAGTCGGCACCCGCAACCCCAAACCCCAAACCCAAACTCCAAACCCCTATACCTTAACCTAAACCGGGCAAAACAAAAATGATTGCCCCTAACCCGAAACCCCCAAAAGCCTAAACTACCAAAGCCCTAACCCAATTCCCCGGAGCCCTGGGGGCCACAGCTTGCTTGGGAGTAGTTATTCTATAGACGTATCAGTATCATAACCCCAATTTGGACCCTTTTTAGAGAACTTATAAGTCTACTGTGCCCCTACTTACTAGATGCCCCGACCCTCCAAGACCTCCTACGGAACCCGCATCGATTTGTTTAAAGGAACCCTGATAGAATCCTTTTAGATCCCTTTGAAGGAACCCTCATAGAACCCCTATAGATCCCTTTGCAGGAACCCTTCCCTAAACCCTAAACTCTAAGCCTTTTTTGAAACCCGTGAAGATCCCCTTAAGGGTTCTACTCAGGTTCTCCTCCTGGGCTTTGAAGTAACCAGGGAGAAATAAGTATAGACTTTTCTTTCATTATGGCTCCTTTCAGGAACAGGTCCCAACAAAAAGTATTAATCTGTGGTACTCCAAAGCTCAGACTCAGTCTTCCCCAACCTCCAGGTGGAGCACCCTAAACCCTAAACCCTAAACCCTAAACCCTGAACCCTAAACCCTAAACCCTAAACCCAACCTCCAAGAGGAGCAGGAGCTGACTGATTGGCGCCACGGTCGCATGAAGCGCGAGGGCTTGGAGTGATGACAGAAGCTCCAGGGTTGTGGGTTTAGGTTTTAGGTTTTAGGGTTTAGGGTTTAGGGGTTTCGGGTTTGGGGTTCAGGGTTTCGGGTTTCGGGTTTGGGGGTCGAGGGTTTGGGGGTTAGGGTTTCGGGTTTAGGGTTTCGGGTTTAGGGTTTCGGGTTTGGGGGTTTTGGGTTTAGGGTTTCGGGTTTAGGGCTCAAAAGAAGGGCCCTATTCGCTTTGGGTGGGCTCTACCAGAATGCTAGAACTACGGCTGATGGACAAAATCCTGCATGACCTTATATACCTAAACTATGGGATTTATGGTACTGTACTATATTCGGGTCATGCAGAATTTTGTCCATCAACAGTATCCTGAGCAACCTTCAGAAAGCATGTAAGCACTTGTCTTGCGGGGGGTCCCCCAGTAGGTCCCGGTATGGGTATTCATAACTCAGTTGTTACTCTACAAACTGACTGCTGAGGCTGAAGTATGCCGTAGCTAGCTTGGGACTGCAACGAGACAGTATGGCTAGTTGTTCGGACCTCTATATATCACGCAATACATGGGAGCTTTCCGAGAACAGGCGGTTTTTCTAGAAACCCCCAGAACGTCGGAAAGGCTTAGCCCCAAGCCAAACACGAAGCTTGCGCCATCATGGCTGCGGACATGTTTACAGTATCCGATTATGGGCTCGAGGGGCGGGGGGGGGGGGGTTGTCGGTTCAAAAATTTGGCATAAACCCTCAACCCTAAAACCCTAAACCCTAAACCCCCAGTTCAAAAATTTGGCATAAACCCTCAACCCTAAAGCCCTAAACCTTAAACCCCTAGACTCTAAGCCCTAAACCCTTTAGTTGATCTAAGATTTCAGGCCTAGCCTCGGGGCAAGGACGACTTTCAAATGCAGAGGTTGCGGCATCCTGGAGGAGCTGTAGTACGGTTGATGATATAAGGTTTAGGGTTTAGGG